GAAGGAGGAGGACGACGAGGAAAAGGAACTTCGCGAGTCGACGCGTTCAGAGCTGAATGCGCTGCGCGTGATGCTTTCCAAACGTTTGGTTGTATCGACAACCCCTGAAGGCGCTAGCGGTGCATCACTACGCGTCGAAGATGATGCTTTATGAGTCGACCCTTTATATGTTAAAGCAACTCTTCACAATCTTTGAGGGAAACTTTCCGTGGTTAACGGAACACAAGGATAGCGATTCGAAGCAAATCGATGAAACCGGCACAAGGGCGATTATTCGCGAGCTCACGGAGCGATGGGATGCTGCACCCGATGCGCGGGGACCTCCTTAGAAAGCCAAATTCAATGCATGAGCACCACCCATGCGAAGGGCCGGAAGCCGCCGCGAGCTATCACAGAGAAAGCATTTCCCCAGTCCCTTCTTCCCTTTCTCGGCGTCTGTCTTCCAGCACGTCGGGAACGAATGGATAGGGTGGCTGCACAAGTCCCTCACGCGCCGCCCGCCAAGCCCACCGCCCTCAAGGGCTGCAGGCGATGCCGCAAAGCGCACGCGGCCGACCAGCTCCCCTGCCAGGTGGGTTCCATCTTCTTCCCCACGCGCCGAATGCCCCTGGATGGATATCGAAAAAAAAACATAGTATTTAACGGCGACGACGCAGAGGGGGGAAGGTGGGGAGGGTCTTGATCAACCCCCCTGGCAAGGTGCTCATCCAGGCGCTGCGGGGTCACCCCGTGCTGATGGCGCACGCCCGAGAGAATCAAGATAACAACGCCTCGTTCGGGCATATTCTGGGGAATGCGTAAAATAATATCCCCCCCCCCCTTCAAAAAAAAATTTAGAGTTGAAAGGGTGCCCCAAAACGGCAGCGCGCAACAAGGTTTGGCGTTTCTCTAAAAGGCCGTTTAACTTAGTCATCGATACGAATTCCGTTGTGAAACCAATTGGTCCGCAGAGTAAAAAGGATTTCATCTAAAAAAAGAGTCCCCGTTTCTGGTTTTATGGTCTCTACAACTGGGATTTAGTAATTTACTTTTCTTGGTCAGGTAATTATGATTACTTGTTTGTCGTCTTTTCTCTTTATTGTCTTTAGGTGTTTCATGTACTCAAAGTTATTATTCCTTACTATTGCCGTCATTATGAATGACATTTAGCTACTTTATATTTTCCCTTCTTCGAAGTCTGGAAAGCACCTTCGATATGTTATGCGCGGAGTTCTCGTTCGCTATGAGAACATCTAAACTACGACAAAAAATTCAAATGCAAAGCTCTGCTTTTTCTAAACAGTCTTCCGAGATATGGGCTGGGTCAACCAGGGCAACCTCACTTCGTTCTCTGTATCAAGCTTCCGCAATGGATTTTACCTTCCCTGTGAAAAAGGAAAACATGGCATCGGGCGGAAAACGTGGACAGGTGGAGGTGGCGAAGGCGTCACGGAACGGAGAATTCCAGTGTGAGCGTTCGTTGTTGGGGTAGGAGCTAGTATAGGAAGATCACAGTGTGCACCCCCCTAAAAGGGGCGACCTGCCGTTTTTGCATTTGAGGTATCTTCGGAGTTAGCATCTCAAAAGATACCCCTCTCCCCTCTTCAAAAAAAAAAAAAAAGAAATACTAAAATTCGTTGACGGATTCTCCCCCACGCATGTGAGTGGCAATCCAATTTGTTATTCTCCCATTCTCTTGTGCCATTATATCTTTTTCGTAGCGTCTTTGTTATTTTACAAGATATCAATCGCCAGCTGGGAACCCTACCCCCTCCTCCCCTCCTCCCCCCCCCCCACCTGATGCCAACGCAGGTTGACGCGACGCTTGCCGCGAAATTGCTAGACTCCCCTTTGAAGTATTTTTTGTTAGACATCGATGGGGTGGTTGCTTCCGGCCACGAAGTCATCCCGCGCGTACCGGAGACCTTAAAATACCTACGCTTCAAAGGAAAAACGATCCGCTTTCTCTCCAATAACTCCTCCTACTCGCGACATCAGATCATCAAGGTTTTCGAAAAGCGCGGCATCCGCGGATTTACGGAGAAGGAGGTCTACAACAGTGGCTACGCCGCCGCGCTGCGGCTCCAGCAGCTTCTAGGAAAGCCCGTTCGCGATCCCGACGGCGGCGAGCAGCTTCTCGTCCACGGCAACCTCTTCGTGATCGGAGAAGGGGGGCTGCACGAGGAGCTCCGCCGCGTCCTCGCGCCCGGGTTCATCACCTACGGCCTGGAGCTGCACGACGCGGAGCGGGTGGGCGGCTTCGACGGGGCGAGGGTCTGCTCCGCGTGGGGGTGCGCGGTGCTGCCGCCGCCTCTCGCCGACGTGGCGACGTCGCCCAACCGGCGCCTCTCCCTCGCAGACCTCAACGCGGTCGCGGTGGTGGTCGGGCTGGATTGGCACTTCAACACGCTGAAGCTCGCGTACGCGGCGATGATCCTGCGCGGTCCGCCGCGCCCGGAAGGGGGGCTGGGCGGGGAAGAGGAGGGGGAGGGGGCCGCGCCGGGCGCGCTGTTCATCGCCACGAACGAGGATCCCCAGGTGCCGGCAGGCTGCAGGGAGGTTTTCGCACCGGGCGACGGCTGCATGGTGCGCGCGGTGGCGATCGCATCCGGCCGCGAGCCCGACGCGGTGTGTGGGAAGCCTCGGATTGACATGGCGGCCGTCCTCTTCGCGAAGGAGGAGATTGCGGACGCGCGGGCGTCGTGTTTGATGGTGGGGGATCGCCTCACAACGGATGTAGCTTTTGGCAATGCGGCGGGCTGCCAGACCATGCTCGTGCTGAGCGGCGTCGAGGGGATGCGTGATATTGAGAGGGCGAAGAGGGAACGGCGAAGTGAGTTGCTCCCAGATTACGTGGCAGACTCGCTTGCTTGCTTTATTCCTTAGGGTACTTGTGCAACAAGCACCGAGCAGCGTATAGTCTATTTGGATTTTCTCACAATCATAATTTTTGATGTTGGAGAGGATGTCGTTCTGATCTATCTCTCACGCATGTCGATGTAAACATTTTTTGGTTTTAAATGAGCTAGGTTTCCAACGCTATGCGTGTTATGGTATTGCTGACAAGGGGGCGACGCCTCACCATAGTGATCACAATTAGTAAAGGCCAGAAGCCACGCTGCCCCTCTTTCCAACGAGCCTTTTCATCAGTACTCTGTACCATACTGTGCTGTGCAATGTGGTTGCACAACCCTTTTGACTTAAGTATTTTCTCATGATTACTGCGGCCCTCACCCACACAACATAGCTCACGTAAGGAAAAGGGTAGCCGGCTTCGCCGAATAATGTAAATTTGAAACCATTGTCAGTGCTGAACCTGCTAAGCACGTACTATATACATATATATATACAAAAATAAATGTACCAGTACAGAGATTTGGATAGGAGAATGGATGTAAACTATTATGTGGTGCACAGGTTACCCATATTTCGCCCGTTTCTAACGGAAACGAAAACAAAACATGCATATTTAAGTAGTAAAAAGGGTAAGCAAATTTAAGGTCGAGCCCTCAATACTTA